TCCCTTTAGATATGCTTATAGGGGGAAGAGAGCAGAAATGCTGGGCAAGGATGTAAATGAATATTTGAATGCTTTTTTCCTTGCAAATGCATGAAGTTGCTCACAATCCATGATAAGCGCATTGTGAAATACAATGCCTAGGGATATATTGGGTTATGAGGTTTTCCAAGGTAAAGGCACGAGCCAGAGTATCAGTTCCAGCCTGTTGAGAGGTTCGTCTGCGTGTCCACAATCGCTAATGAGATACAACCACAGCCACGGTTGCAGAAACAACAAGATTGGGCTCCTCAATGAGTGCAGGTGTCCTTTCTGTTGGACAGGACCTGTCCTGGGTATTTCAAACTGTGGTTGCTGTTTTATGCAACACGAACATGAATCCCAACCTGAGTTGTTTTTCAGCAGAGCACAGCCGAACCACCCACTAATGCTAAAGCTTATCTAAGCACTGACTTGGCACTGCGAGTGCAGCACAAGACAAGCCGCAGAGAGCAACGCGGATTAGTTGAATTTGTCTTCCACTTGCATGCTGTCTTCACAGGATACAGCTCATTTTCAGCTGTACTGATGCCTGATGCAAGAGACTTGCGGAGGGGTTCAGTGCAGTTGTCCCTTAAAGACCAGGTACGTTTGATGGGTTCAGAAATGACGCACATGTGGCAGCAACACAGCTGACTGAGCAATAGAGCAGGGATCCGAGTCTGAGCAGCTGCCTTACCTTGGCAAAGAGGTTGAAGCAGCCCAGCCTGCTGACGATGCAGTGTACTTCAGGAAGCCGTTTCCCCTTCCCACTGGGCTGGGGGACACACCGAGAAAGAGGGGAGAAACCGGGTCACGACTGCAGAACCATGCGCGAGCACTGAAGAAACTTAATGCATTCCTCCACCGTGGTGAACAACCACGCTGATCAGACACACAGCGTGCAAACCCTGAAAACCTACCAGAATCTTCCGACAATAGCCGAACCAGCGGCTGCCGTCCTCTCCCGTCAGCACGAAGGAAAAGGTTTCACTGAGGACCAAGAATAAAAAGTCAGTCTTCAGTAAATGATTATATTACTCTAATCCATTCATATCGCTCTAATCTTTTCTTTTCTATACTGTTTCAAAACTTAGAGTTGCCAATTTGCCATTTAAGCCCACCTACAACCATTCAAAGAATGAGACTATGCATTGCTGTCCAGAGAGACAGACACAGCGTCCACTCATCGACTTTGACCCTTGATCGTCTGGTCCCTTCTCGCTCAAGGACAGAAAGCACGGCAGGGCTGAGACGTGGCAAGGAGAACTGAACTTGTGGGAGTAGAACTGCAAGTTCACAATTGATCTGATGACCACTGGGGGGAGCTGCTGAGGCAAAATACCAGGGAAACTGGATTGGCTCTGAACCTCTGCAGCCCAGCTGGAGATGGACGATAACACACTGCCTAGCTGGGAAATAGCTTTCCCAGTCAGCTAATTACATATCCTAGCATCAAACTCCCAATTTCTGGATTACAGAGACTATACTGCATGCACGTGGAGGCCTTAAAAAATTGAACCACTCCAGGGAGTGCTGTACCACCCAATCCTGAAAACAGACAATTCTTTGCAGATAAGCACCTGATCCCCAATAACTGATTTATTAAACCAGTCAAATGTTTTCACTTAATAAAAGTTTTAATGGCTTTTCCTCAAATTCATTAACAGATACTTATCAAGGGTTTTGAGATTAATTTTTAATTAGGTAGTAGTTCTAATTCCTTTGTTTAATTTTCTGTTAGAAAGGCAGCAAATAAAGATCTGTTTACCAAGAGATGACCTGTGTTGCTGTTGGCTGATACTGGCCCTTCTGTACTTCAAAAAGCCAAAAAGTCACCCGGTAACACCAATACCCAGTTTTGGTAAATAGATCTTCATATATTGGTAAATAGTTCCAAAACTGAGGAACACGTGCTCTATAATGACCAGTAACTAACAATGTTTTTAAAACACATTTTTTAAGAAACTTTGCAATGTGAAAATGATTACTTATAGTTAAATTTAGATTTGCTTGAATTTTTTATTTTCTCCATGGGGTGTATTTTATCTTTTATTTGTATGCCTTTTATTATCTTAAAAAGACATTTGTGAGCACACATCAGCTATCAGTGGGGAGGAGAGCTGAGTAATTAAGCCAATTCATAGATGGGGATTATTAGGAGGGCCAATAGGAAATTTGGCCAGGACGCCAGGGTACACCCCCACTCTTTTCGAGAAACGCCCTGGGATTTTTAATGACCACAGAGAGTCAGGACCTTGGTTTTACGTCTCATCCGAAGGACAGCGCCTGGTTACAGTATAGTGTCCCCATCACTATACTGGGGCATTAGGACCCACATGGACCGCAGGGTGAGTGCCCCCTGCTGGCCCCACTAACACCTCTTCCAGCAGCAACCTTAGTTTTTCCCAGGAGGTCTCACATCCAGGTACTGACCAGGCTCACACCTGCTTAGCTTCAGTGGGTTGCCAGTTGTGAGTTGCAGGGTGATATCAATATCACTTCAGACACGCTGGAGTAACATTTCTAATGTGAAATAGCAACTCGTCTCAAGCAATTAGACTTAGTTTAAGTTAGACTAAGTTTAAGAATTACCCACTTGTGGGCACTAAGGCTGTCATTAAGCTAGATGCACCCCTTGCACCATCCACACGGAAACAAAGATGGTAATATGAAGTATGAGCCTTGAGGAAAGGAGAAGACAAGAATACAATGAGACGATCAGAACAGAACCTGGTGATCTCTGCAGTGGGACGCCAGTCCTGGGAATCTGGGAAGCAGAAGCGGGGAATGGCTTGGAGCCTGTCCTCAGCGTCCTTGGACTGCCGAGTGGACTTCTCAAACTGCCCAATGTAAGAAGAAGAAGGTGGTCAGTGGGGCTCTGTTTAAGCGCAGGACTCTCACTCCATTCAGACACGAGCAGCTCAAAATCTCCATGACAACTCGGAAGCACTAGAGCCCAGCTTCTTAAAAAGGATTTTAAAAACCTGCAATGTTATACAACATAGGTCCTGTAGAAAAAAACTAAGACACAGCCAGAGTCTGTCAGCATAAGCTGCCTGTGAGGTACAACTGGAAAAATAATCAAACCGCAAAAGAAAATAATAGACATTTAAGTGCAGATTAGTAAAGCTATTCCAAACTGAAAATTTCCCACAAAAGCAATTTATTTTAGTCAGAAAAGACCTTCCTCCATATTTCATCCCATCTTTGATGCAAAACGAAGAAAAAACAGATGAAGAAAAAAATCAATATACCAATTAATTTAAATTAATGAATCTCAAAGTGTTAACAATGCTCTTAGAATTCTTCAGAATCAAACCAAATGACTTGAAACACATGTACAATGCTACAGCATTCACAAATGTTAAACAACTAAACTATCTTTTTACTGAAATTGAAGTGAACCTGTTGATATTGAACCTGTTTGTAACCTGGCTTGACGATCCTTGAATAGACTCTTTTTTTACCCGAGTCAGGAACAAATGAGAAATAATAGGCAAACGAGTGACCAGTGCCATGTATCTGCAACATTTTAACACAGGCCAAATTTAATTCCCACAGAGGCCTGTCATTTGAATCTTGTGAACAAGCGGTATCCTGTTTTGTAAAAGTTCATTTTTGCCATCTAGCATGCTGCCTGCATCTTCAAAATGGTGAGCACTAGAAATGTTGCGTGCTGTTCCAGAGTCTCCAGCCCTGGTCCAGGAAAGCTCCTGTCCAGCAGGTGTTTTATATAAGGCAGAGCTTCTGAAGTGGCGAACGCACCTTGTTGGGGAACTGCTGTGTGATCTCTGGTGTGTACGTGTTTCCAGAGGGCTTCTTTCGCAGCGACACGACAACAAACAGCTCGAAGAGCTGCTGCTCCTGCAGCTCGAATAGGTCCCTCTCCAGGGTCTGGTAGCGGGGGTTCCTCCGAAGAGTGGAGTGGACATAGACTGAGCGGCGAGCCTGGCCTGGACACATGGCAGAGAAACAGACACACATGGTGTGAAATTGGATTTTAGTTGTATTTTGCAAAATTAGAAAGATTATCTATTCGTCCAGCTGTTTGACTCCACTTGTGCCAAAGAATGCAAAGTCTCAGTCTTATGTTTTTGTTTCCCCTTAAATATCTACCTACGGTAGTTAAATCGCATCCTTTTAGAGTGTAATAGAATGGATTATTCTGCATTTTGAGGTTAAACCTACAAATCAGGTAATGAACAGCAACACAAACAGAGAAGACTCACTAACAGCTTAAGAACTGATCTTGCTGTAGATGGTGCTATTAAGCTACAAGATAAACATTTCCCCATGCAGGGGGTGACAGGTGAGTCACACCAGCCAAGATGTCCACACACATGCAGCATGGGTACTAGAGGCTGGAGCTCTGTAGTGTACGAATGGTTCTGACCTTTGCCATTCTCTTCTGGATCACTCTCTGTCCCGCTGGCATCATCTGCAAAGACATGCACAACAGCTTCTTCATTCATGTCAGGTTGGGCAGAGATCCACCTGCCTCCCACCAGTCACTCGTGCGTTCACGTGGTTTAGACAAAAAGCTGTTTACACTGATACCCCTCTGCAGCACCTTGAGGGAACTGCTGGCCCACCCTGTGCTTGCTCCTTCGTGATTCATACAAAGCTGTCTGAAAGGACTGCTCTGATCATGGGTTTTGTAAGGGCACAGTAGCTAAATATGAGCTAAGACTAATTAACGCCTCAAACTGCAGCTCGTCTTCATCAGAAAACCCCGCTGGCAGGGGTCTCTGCCTGATGGCAGGCTGTTTCTCAAGAGCTTGCATCTGTGCAGATGTACCTCGGCTGGGGCCCTCCTGGCCACTCGTCAGTTGGGTCTTCACTCGTTTCTTTCCCCTCTTGGCATTAAAGATCTCCTGAATCCTGTTCACGTACTGCAAGTGGAAAAGAAACAGGCCAGTTTGCACTCATTACATCCAGCATTCACCATTGGTACGCTGCAAATAATGTATTATTTATTGTCCACGATTACACAAGAGAGAAAAGATCACGGGACAAGGTTTCAGTCTGCGTGCTGTGTTTTCCGTCTCCATTTTTCAGAAATGGTTTTCCTTTCACATCTCTAAATTGAGTCCTCAGTGAACCCCTGACTCTGAATTTACAGTACTCAACCCACTGATGTGCAGATATCAGCATCATAGATTTTTCAGCTATTTCAATCACACATATTTAAGAGCAAAATCTACGGCATACATCCTAACAATTTACAGATGTTCAACTTGAAGTTCAAGAACTAAGTGCTTACTCTCCATCACCAGCTAAGTAAAAATATAGGTCACACAATTTTACCCTGTTGGAACCCATATCCACCCCAACATCCCCTTTTTTGCAGATTCTGAACTCATTCCACCTGGTGCATGGATTGGGAACCTTGATCACTTTATGCTAATCGTGAAGATGTTCCCTAGGCCAATCAGATTATAGCTAGATGAGCCCCTCATATTGCTCTTCCACTAAGGTGTTCAATTCAAGGGTTAATTCAAAGCTACTGAATCTCCTCCACAGTATAAGAAATTGATGTGTCTTATCCGACACATGCTCCATCCAATAAAATTTGACTCAGTGTGTGATAGAATCCCTCTATTGGGCTTGAGGCATCCAGCTCCTGCCATATGAGAACAACACTGATCAATCGCCAGGCTGTTTGTTAAAGAATGACACTGATCTGACGTCAATACTGAGGAGAAGAACAGAGACAGAGAAAAAACTGTCCAAGTGCTTATTTTCAAGGTGGTCTTTTGGTTTGCAGTGCATTTTTGGACTTCATCACAAAAACTGCAACTCATTTACTGCACATTGAATAAAATGTTACTTCCTGAAGAAAATATATTGGAGCCAACAATTTCAAGAGGTTTTCTGTCGAATTGTGTTCCAGAAAGAAACAAATTCCTACATCTCACAAGCACAGAACAAGAGCAGGGAGAGTAGGTCTTCCAAAGAGCAGCTTTGGCCGAATAAAACAAAATCTCAGAATAACATTTGGGAGCTGCCGAGTGAACTGAACCAGTCCTGGCACTCATCGCACAATTCTCAAATCAGTTCCAGATGAGCTGAAAGCTGCTGGCTCTCTCATTCATGGCCCTCAGTCACCCTGACAACAGCACTGGTGGAAACCTGCTGGTAGGACTAAATTATAGATATTCCTAAGGGACTATAATTTTTGTTCCATTTGCATTTGTGATTTATTGGCCCCCAAACCAGAGGTTTGATGGATACTTCTCAAAAAGAGCTTTGGATTTTGAGAGGCCTTTCTCTTGCAAATGTTCTGCTCTTTCAAAAGCAAACAGGTCACTTTTTCTTGGCTTAAGTATGGAGCAGCACACTGACAAGCCACATCTCCTATTGTGTGCAGATACCTGATTTTCCTCTGCAAAAACTAAAATCAAAATAAGTCCAGTCTATACTGTAATCAGCATACAATGACGCAAAGCATTCAATGTTACCGAACACAGATGATGCCCACACCAAGGGTCAGATAAAAGAATGAAATGTAAACTTCCACCCACTGTCCAATTACACAGAAAAGCTACAAGACAGTTGGTGGACGCTACCACATTTACCACAGCAAAGCCATTAGGGTTTATAATTGTGACACCAGGCAATTCAAAGTTTGGGATTATCTTTCTCAGTGTTTGGTGTAAATGTTCACCTTTAAACAGCAGTGCTTAACTTCTTTCTTATTCTACTGTATGTACGCTGCAACTAACAAACACAAAACTGATTTAACAACTACTCACGAATCTTGCAGCAAAAAGCTCATCTCTCTTCTGGTCTTTCCTCAAATGTTTTTCTTTGAAACCACTTCTCTGGTGCTCAAAATGTTGAATGTAGACTACAGGTGGGTAGATGACCAATTAGATCTTATTACAGGCATAACCTCTGAGAGGCCTCTTAGGACGATTGCTCTTTGTGACCTAAGTCAGTGGCTCTCAATCCTGCTTCCAGGATGCTTAATCATTAGTGCCTGTTACAGATCCAGCTTTCAGCATTCATGTTTTGGTTTAAAAAATATCCTAAACATCATTATTTTCAACACCTTCAGCACACCTTCAGGAACCTCTATGCAGCCCCTATTCATCTTGCTAATTCCAATATTCATCCTTTATTTTTGACTAAATAGCTCTTAATATGTGATCAATTAAGGTATAGGCAGGTGGGAATGACATTCCCACCGTGAGTCACCTTTTCTGTCTAATTAGGTCTGTATGTAAGAGATGGTAACGCTTCACATGTCTGCTGAGTTTTATAACAGCTGAACTCTACATCTTCGGGGCCTACTGATGACATAATTGAACTGCTTATTTATTTAGATTTCAAGGGTACTATTTCTAAGAACTTCAGAATACAGAACATACTTTCCTCAGCTTCTCCTTAACTTACCTGTCATTGTTTCTGACTAAACTTAGTTGATTATCTGTTGATGAACAGACACAGGTGGGAAAGGTGTTGTATCGGACATGCCCACAATGAGCATTCTGTCCCTCTGTAGAGGCCCAGCTGGTTGTATTTCAGGCCGCACTTGTGAGAGAGGGCAGTTCTGAAACTCAGGGATATGAAATAAGTACCAATTTCTTTTTACCCGGAATAAGCTGAAAGCAAATTGAACAATATGATCCAAATAGAATACTAAACAAATCAACAAGCCTGTGATTAAGAACTCAGCTTGAGCAAAAACAGTGTTCCTGCAGGACCAGGGCTGGGAATTATTGCTTTTGAACAAAGAAAAATATGATCATATTATATACAATCCTATGGCTTCAGTATTTTTCAACTTTCGTGTGAAATGTTACATGTATTGCTTTTAATTAATGCCTAGGATGTGATTTTACATTAAAGTTTTATAAAAAAGATTCTGCTTATTATAACTTTTCTTAATTAGCTCACTATTGTATACAGAATTTTTGCCAAAGCAGGCTGGAAGTAAAACAGGATTCCTTCCATGTAAAAGAAACAGCAAGATCATGAGCTGATTCAAAACCATGAACTACCAGTAAACTTTCAGTTAGTATGAGTGTAGATATTGCACGTTGTCCACAGAAGATGGAAGCTATACAATACTGAGATCTCCATATGTGTTTCAGTAAAGGACAATCACCTTTTTTTTAGAACAGCTGTAATATAGCAGAGATTATATGACTTTGCATGAGTGTGTATTTATTGTGAGATGTTTATTGTAAAATAAAGTTTATTTTGATAGAAGAAAAAATGTATTTTAGTGATGCTCATGTCCACAGGGCATGATGGCTACTCCTGAACTGTCCCAGGCTTCAGCAGCAGTGCGTCCCAGAACAGTCAGACAAACTGAGACAAAAATTAATCTATCTGCCTCAGTCACTATTAGACTACCAATTAAAGAAACCCTTTCATCTCAGACAATTATTATGGTTGCAGTCCCTCAGTTTGATTCAACCAGCCATTCAATAGGTTACTGCGATCAGAAGTAAGTAATTCAGTATCTGCCCCTTGTCCACAATACACAAACATCTACCTAGGGACCAACAAGTGTAAGTCTCGAGAATTTTATTTCGGACTTTGTGGTTGGTTTTAGGGAACTTTAACAACTCACTCTGTCATTGTCTTTCATTTCTGTTGCCTGAGACTAGAGAAAGACATTGTGTTACTGAGATAAAAAACTGAATTTGAGAACAGTGTTAGGGTAGCCAGAATTGTTTAAAATTCTCAAAAAACTACACATTGGACACCATGCAAATGTGGGTGGGAGTACAAATCTGGGGCTAACAATTGCTTCTCCCACCCAAAACAAAATTCACTCGACTCAATTTAATGAAGTTACATAACACAAACTTCTTATCTCTGAACACACACACATCTCTGAACACACACAGAACAGCAGTAGGCCCAGCACAGAGTACAGTCTGCTGAACTTCAGAGAGATGCTTTACTGTACTTCAAAGGGTCTCTACCACTTCCTGTCAATCACAGAAACCAGACTTTTTGTCCCTGTGCAAAAAGTCAAATAAAACATGTACTGTACATAAACTCATATGCATCTCCAGAGATTCATATATATTAATATATTCCCTACATATGAATACTCTGTATCGCTAAATATTTGGTGCTGCAGTGTGAAATCACCCAACCAGGACCATTTTCAGAACAGTGTAGCTGGACAAACTTCCCACAGCATCTGTAAGGGATATGACAGCTGAAAATGCCAGATGTAAGCATTCCACAGAACGCCCTGTTTTTATTGAAATAATTAATTTCACATCTCCAAAAGAGAGGATGAACCAAGAGAACGTGTTGTATGCTGGCAGCATTTGCTAAACACAATTATGGAGGAGAGAGTGCGTCCCTCCAGCTCATTTCACTATCTTCTTTTAAAGCAAAAGAACAGTCTATATCTGCCCATTTCCTGAGAACAGGCACAGACACTGAACTCCAATACTCCAATACAGTACACAAACCCAAAATGTGCCATAATGACCTCACTTCAGCCAGGATTCGGATATAGGCTGCACCTATCTGTCTCCAACTGGATTATGATATGAAGCAAAAGAACACAGACTCAATCTCAACTACACAGACAACTTTAGAGTAGGGTCTCCTTTCTGGGTCCTCAAGGGCTATAATACAGAAGGTTTAAAATTGTCCAACTAAGCCTCAATAAGCCTTATTTAAGTCAAACCCTCTTCTCAGATCTTAAGCAGCTAAGGACTTGAAATCTCAAACACCCCCTGCAAAGCAACACTTCAGGCTCAGAACTGGGGACCAGGAACACTGCAAAGGGCTTTTCTGAGAGTTTTAAACGCTCCACAAATGTAAATGTTTAAATTTACTCTAGCACTTCAAGTCTGCGGTTACAATCCACATGACGGAACTATTTTATGCTAAAAGCAGAACTGAACCATTCACTGGTCAATATTGACTCCTGGGAACTGCTGAAAAAACCTTAAATACTTCTCTCAAGAAAATGTAAATAAGCTTCTTTTGTTACAGCTGAGACTGAAAATCGATCCTAAAACCACACTATACAGGGATCTCAGAAGAGAAGCATCTAAATATAGCAGCAGGGAACTGCTGTAATTGTGTAGGGAAAATAAACATGCACACTGGATACATGTGTGGTAGATCTAAGGCACAGTAAACAAGCCACAGCTTATTTCAGAGACAGGAAGACTTTTGCATTCAATTTCTTACATGCAAGCGTCATACGAAGATCTGGAAATTTTCCTACGAGTTTCTTTAGTAGATGAAGACAGAAACGAGTAACTTTAATTATACAGTGCATAAAGATCCTACATTTAAGCAAAAAAAAAACATGATTGTTTTTGAAAAATGATTAAAAACAGCCGCTTTTCTGAATTAAAGCTTTTAATTAAGCTTTTCTTAATTAAAGGTCTGCTATGACTTGGGTGCTGAATGAAAGCAAAATCAATTCAGCACTGTCCCTGAAATCAGCACTACGTAAAAGCAACTCTGCTGTCTTCATCAGATCTTCATCTACGTAAGGCTTGAACATTCAGTGAAGTGTAAATCCAGGGTTTGCAACAGTAAAGTGCATGCACAAAATCTGGAAACCACGAATTCACAACTGTATCAAATGCAAAGCAATTAGATTCCGAAAGAAAGCAAACAGAAGAAACATGCAATGTAAAGATTTTGGACTTCTCCCTTAAGCCCCTTAGAGCCCACTCCTTCAGTGAACCCCAAAACCCTCCAGGACCCAGCAGCCCTCCCTGCCTGCTGAAATTCTCACCCCCAAAGGGCATTGCTCCTCCATCAGCTGCCCCTTCTTCTGCTCAAGCGCCTCAGCATGGTCGTACTGCCAAGGACAAACAGACAGACTGGCAGCAATGCAGGCCAACTCTCTCTCTCTTTCTCTCTCTCTCTCTCTCATTAAAGAGACAGTCAACGCGGAACAGAGGCATGAACTGCATTTGCCGAGCTGCTGCAATCAAATCGCCTCTATTACACACAAACACTTTTTTCCCTCCACTTGCCACTACTCACACATCTGCCCAGAAACCAGCCACAAAGCTGGTATCCTCAGATTCTAACTATCCTCGGAAACTATCCTTTACAGGTAATGGGGATTCCCCTCCACCGCCAACAATGTGCACCATCCACCTGGATGATGCGACGGCATCCATAGTGCGCCAGAACACTCACCACACACCAGCTATTAGTGTGGATAGCTGGTGTGTGGTGAGTAGAGAGCAGAGTAATGTAGCCAATTCATAGAGGGGGATTATTAGGAGGCCATGATTGGTAAGGGCCAATGGGAAATTTGGCCAGTATGCCGGGGTTACACCCCTACTCTTTTCGAGAAACGCCTTAGGATTTTTAATGACCTCAGAGAGTCAGGACCTCGGTTTTACGTCTCATCCAAAGGACAGCACCTGTTTACAGTATAGTGTCCCCGTCACTATACTGGGGCATTAGGACCCACATGGACCGCAGGGTGAGCGCCCCCTGCTGGCCCCACTAACACCTCTTCCAGCAGCAACCTTAGTTTTTCCCAGGAGGTCTGTTATCCAGGTACTGAGCAGGCTCACACCTGCTTAGCAGCAGTGAGTTGCCAGTTGTGAGTTGCAGGGTGATATGGCTGCTTTCACATTGCATGCTTCACATTTTGAATTAATTTGCTTTTATTGAAACAAGATTATTTTACTGGGTCTCCTCTTTCATTTACTAGCTGGCTTAGCACAACCCTAACAAATGTTAATTTGCCTTGTTTAGTACTACAAAGCCTCCTGAGTAAGATTATATTTGGTAAGTTTCCTCGCCAGGGCCTAGATCATTGATATGGGATAGGAAGAGCAGTGGTCTTTGGACTGGCCCCTGTGTACCCGCGTAATGTCAGTTCTGCCGTGCATCTATACTCCACGCAGACGTGTAGACGTGCAGATGCGCATACCCGTGGCTGTCTGCGCAGACGGGATCCCCCCTCCAGAGCTGTGCCACGAGAGGTGGTCAGGGGCGACCTCAGCGGGGACGCTCCAACCTCCCTCTTCCCAAAATCCCGGCCCCGCCACGTTTTGCTGGTGGGCACCTGTCGGCTGAAGAGAGTGGAGGGCTTTGGAGGCAGCTGGAAAGAGGGAGAGAGAGATGGGGGTCATTATACAGCCAGCACACGAAGGCCAGGGCTACACGCACTTCTTCCTACTCGCCTGTACGTTCTCCCCCTGGATTACAGAGACCGAGCAGAAAAAACACTGGCTTGATTTATTGAACACCGAAAGAAAACAAACAAAAGGACATTGGATTTTCCCCAAAATTAACAGAAGTTTACAGTTTTGTACTGGTTTTCCCCCCACTTGTGGGCCAGTGAGGAAGACGAAGAGACACACAGAGTCATGCAGCTCATCTCAGCTGTAGAAATAGACGCCAGTACTACATAAGATTAGCCAATGATGGGCCAGATTCCAGATTGCCAGGCTGTGCATTAGCTGGGATGGGAACTCTTGCTAGACTATTTTGTGAACGGAGCAGTTCCTCTACCAATGGTTCTCATGCTCTTTAATAGAAGCAAAAAGGCAATTTGTGTTGGTGCATTAGGGTTATAAAAAAACAAAGTAAAACATGCAAACACAAGGTTACAGAAGCCTGCTCTTGTTCCTTTGTGTGCCGGCTGCATGCAGAGAAGGTAAACCGGTCATAGGCTGACATCTTGTGGGAGGAACTAGTAATAACTCCACTTCAACTTGCTGGCTCATGCCGGACTTGTCAGTGCTCAAACACAAAGGAGAGAAGTGCATTGGGATATTCTGGAGCACTTTCCTTTTACCACTCCGGGTCCCTCTCACACAGGGCTCTCATCAATTCCAACAGTCAGATTTTGTCACATCAAAATCCAGAAATCAAAACAAATCACCCTCGTCTTTCATTGCAGAAGGGGATGGGATAAGCACGCCGAGAGTAAGCAGTTTAGTTCATCAATGTTAAATATGCAGAATCACTCTCGGGGGTCATCTGCAGGTTCTGTTCATGCAGCACACAAATGATTAGCGTTAATGTTAACCTGCACGTTGATTTGGCAGTTTCACCTATGGCATGGCTTCACACAATTTGCACCACAATATCACCAGCGCTATTCACGGAAAGCTTTGCTACTCTGCGCTTGCCATGTACCACCGAAAACACACTACGCCCTTTGAAGGAGCCAGGGGTGACGGAGGCTTCTGGAAACACACCTTGGAAACAGCATGGTCCTACATCATGCAAGGACAACAGAGCTCAGACATCTGTACTCTTCAACAGGGGAGACTTTGTAGTTATATTTCAGGACACAGTTAACTAAACCACTGGAAAGTAGAAGTTATGTGTATTTAGGAGAAAAGGGGGCAGTTCTTCACACAAAGAGTTTCAGGTGTTATGAATAACATAATTAACCAAGCTGTGGAAGCTGGGATTTTTAGAAGGCACCTTACTAAAGGCCTTTAGGTTAGTGTAGTATTAGAAACCCAACAGGCAAGGAAGGTTAGTAATGAGAGGGATGCATCCTGTCTTCTTGTTTTCCTCTAATTTAGCACTGTACTATCTGCTGTAACGAGGGCTGTAACCAGCACTTTCACAGCCATGAGGATGGAGAGCTTTTTGCACAGCTTGGAGAACCAAGGCAACATGGGCCGAGAGACTGACAAGACAATTCATTGCTCATCCCTCCGAGACTGTCTGCAGCTCGGAGAAGAGTGGAGAAGGACTCCACCCCTGGTTATGGCCTGAGACAGAAGTTTGTGGTCACAGACAGAAATCAGCTGCAGCCGGACAACATAGCAGAGGAAACACAAAGACAAATGTCAGGCAGTCACGGTACAGCAGGTAGTTCTCAGACTAGTGAAAGAATCATGTTGAGAAATCGAAAGGCAATTAAAAAATCCAACATTTTCACAAGGGAAAGTGTAATCCATGGAGAGGCACTGCCCATGCCCCTGGCACTTGGCGCTGCAGCAGAAGGAAAGGCAATGGTGCAACGCCCTACCTTCGGCAGCCTGTCCTGCTGCTGCCTGGGTATAGTCTTCCCTTTCTGCTCATACACAGGAGACAGCTTCACATCCTCATAAGGGTTCTCTTTGGCAGGGTCTGGAGCCGGGAGAGAGCAGTTATAGTCCAGTTAGTCCAGGTAAAGTTTTTCTCGAAAACTATCAACATCAGTTTTTTTTTCAACTCCTGAAAGTGGGTGTCAGATGATGCAGTTGATGGAGGTCTGACGCAGCTTTGGCATCACAGAGGGCTCATAGCCACTTGCAAAGCCACAATGATCTAAGACATCCTCAGTCACTGCCAAAATCTCTTTTGGAATTGCCAATTCCTTTTGTTTGATACCTTTCCTGCTAGAAATTTCTAATTGTTCCATCTGCAAATGAGCAGGGAGGGAACAAGGTCGTGCTCTCCCCTGGCCTGCCAGCCATTTCGGTTGTCTGTACCACAAGCTTACAGGAGCCTTGCAGGAGAAATCCACACCATGATGAGTTAACAACAAATCCCATGACTGAACGGGTGATGTTTGATCTATAGAAATTGCAAATGCCCCTACTGTGGGAGAAATTCACAAATCCCCAAACCTGCCCTTTTCTGACAGTATCCTGCCACTCAGCTAATGACACTGCCCAGGTTTAAAGCACTGAGCGTTGCTGCCCTTTGAGTAGCTGTGCCTCTTCAGTGGGAACCTTCTCCCACTGAGCCAATCATCCGCACGTGATGCAGGCCGACTCACAGATGATGTCTTCGTAGATGTTGTCCTCGGACATGGTGTGGTACAGCCCCGAACGCCGTGCTTCCCCGGAGCCCTCCGTGCTGCCGGACACGAGGAACTGCAGCCGCTCGGCATCCTCAAACTCAAAGGACTTCCTGTGGGAAAAGCACGACAGATACAGTACATTAATTGGTACGTTAATTAGTACTAAGAGGGGCTCGCCTCACACTGAAAGTGCTGCACAGAGGAAAGAAAGCTGCACACTTCTCGCCAGCAGCTATATCACCCTGCAACTCACAACTGGCAACCCACTGAAGCTAAGCAGGTGTGTACCTGGCCAGTACCTGGATGGAAGAGGTGTTAGTGGGACCAGAAGGGGTGGTCTGTGTGGCTCCTAATGCCCCAGTATAGTGACGGGCACACTATACCGTAAAAAAGCACTATCCTTCGGATAAGACATAAAACCAAGTTCCTGACTCTCTGTGGTCATGAAAAATTCCTGGGCGTTTCTCGAAAAGCATAGGGGTGTTACCCCAGCATCCTGGTCATCGCTCTTCTCTCCTGATAGCTGATGTGTGGTGAGTGTACTGGTGCACTCTGGCTCCCGTCGCATCATCCAGGTGCTGCACATTGGTGGTGGTGGAGGGGAGTCCACATTGCCTGTAAAGCGCTTTGAGTGGAGTGACCAGAAAATCGCTATATAAATGTAAAGAATGAGTAATTATTACTTCTGTAATGAGTGAATGAAACCAGCCAGTCAGCAATGTCTGCGATTAAGCCTGAGGAATAATTATTTTCCTAAAGGGCTGAGAGAAGCCAATAATTTTAGGAGCTCTTTTCATTCATACAATTTGTTTAAGAAATACTGCTATGAATTAAATGAAAAGTACGGCATCTTCAGGAACTGGTTTCAACATGGGACTGATAAATCCAGCTGTGGAGACAAGGGAGGCCTCCCAGCAACACAACATGCCAGGACTCCACGTTGCCGTCGTTCGTGGTTACTTCCATGAGCCCTACCACCTCACCTAAACACAGTGGTTGACTGTTAAATCTGCAGGCCTCGATGTACAAAGCAACTGTGTGCTTGGGTTTCAGCAATTACACTGCCAGATTCACTCAGATGTGTTGGAAAGCTTCAAGTTAGAAATTTAACATTAACCCTGTAGTCGAAGAGTTGTGATTAACTGCAGTATAGGACAATTCCTGCATAACGACAACATGATTGTTGAAAAGAGTCCAACAGACCCAGACACAGAGCCTCTCTTACAGAATAGCGTGCAGCAGCAGCTCCTGAGAGAATGGGCTGTCTGTGTCTTTCCTATCCTCTGTTCTCTGCCTGGCAGCTGCATGAAGTTAATTGCCCTGCTCCAAGGATAGTGCCGGCGTGTGCAGTGAGGGGAAAGCAGATTGTCTGCATTTAATTTTCAGGCATGTTCATCAACGTGCCTACAAAAGAACATAGGAATGGCTTGCTTTCATCATATCCACTGTAGCCTTTTGACCCGTCAGGCTCATTTGGCTGTTTAGAATTAATTGATCCGCGGATCTTGTCCAGCAGTTTCCTGAAAGGAGTCCAGGGGTCTTGGGAAGCTTGTATCACCCAAAACATCTGCATTTACCCCCAGTGGTTAACCAGAACTAGGACCGTGCACCACATCACTTTGCTGTTACAAAGCCAGTCAGGTAAGGATAAATTCTCTATGAAGACTGCACTCCTATTTAGACATATTTTAAGAAAACCATCACAGCCCTCCTAAAGCTTCACAGCGGGGGCTGGGCGTGGTGTTGAAACACAGGAAGCTGATGGCCTTACTGCGCTATCTCCAGCGCTGGAAAGATGCGCGGGTTTAACTACAGGATGTTTTCAAACTGCCGCTGCACTGTTCCCCTGAGCTCCAGTCAGAACTAGGCCAAGTTGAGACAATGCAGGCAGCCACTGCCAAAACACATGACATCATGTCCTGGTCGGCTTCCAGCTGGAAGAGAGGTTGCTGGCAGGAGGCCGCAGCCTATAATCCCTCATGTTGTCAGCCAGCAGCGAGCCCTTTTTACTGTACTCTGCTGCGAAGCATGTTTTCTTCTGCTTCGAACATGCTTGTATGAGCTTTGTTTAAACAACTCAGGGATACCGTTGATGACACTGGAAAAGTGGTCCTTTGCCACTCTCGGTTGCTGTAAAGTCAAAGGACAGCACACTTGGCAACACATCTACCCAGGGGTTCACATGATTTTCATCATTAGGCCCCACTCACTAAAAACAAGAACTGTCTTTAATGCCCCTCAACCAAGCAGACAGCTTGTGCTTATTGAATTAGTATCCAGACAAAGCTGTTGCTGAACTCTGCACACATACTCCTGTGATTACAGCAATAAAAACAGGCGAAGCATTAAAAAAAACTGGTATACTTGCAGTTCTGTGCCTTTCTATGGAAAGATCTGTATACACAACTCTGCGCCCATGGGATTCCAAGTGCTTACTCCTTCTGAAGAACAAACTAAAGTAAATGGTTTAAAGTCTGATTTAAAAGATTCACCTAGACCATTTTTCTTAAGAAGGGTCAAGATGAATTCATTTCTACACTCCAGGATCTTAGTCCTCCTAATTGTAGCTGGGTTTGAGGAACTAGCTGTAACTCAGCATCTGCTGATGTCCAAATATAGGCACAGATGAGCCAACCCATCCTATATTTACGAAGGCCTAGAACCACGAAGGGCCTTGTAAATTTAAAAGCACTTCTATACTGAACAGGCAGCTAATTGCACTGAATGTAAACGGGGCAGGATGTGCAGTGACCCATTCTGGATACTGCATTGTGAACCAAATGGAGCTGAAGTAGCTTTGAATAATCAGAATTGAGCAGCTTGATGGCATGGCCATTGCTGCCTCACAGAATTTGGGTCCTAGGTGTGATCCAGAACCATGGCACCTTCTGTACAGAGTCTGCATGTTCTCTCTGTGATACCTGCAGTGGGCTACTATCCAGGGTGTAATTCCACTACCTTGCACCCAAAGGTTCTACAGGCTCTGGCTTGGCTTTCCCAAAGAATAAGTGGTATGGATGGATACCAGCATTTTCCTGTCGTGATCTTATGTCCTTGGAGTGGTGTGCGTCATCTAAAATTCCCTCACTTCAGCACACTTGGTGGTCATTTAATTGCAAAAGTTCTGTTACTCTGTTTCCTTTTCGTCTCAGAAAAGACCCTTGTCTGTTTCTGTTGTATGAGCAGTTCTTAGAAACACTGCAAGCATGTCAGTTCAGTTCTTTGAAAGGCTTCAGTTTTTCCAGTTAAAAGACTGGAAAGATTTTTAAATTCTCAGGGTCATTTAAAAAGGATGTGGGCCGAATACAGTCCAGAAACCAGAAAACATACAAATGGCTGCCATCCATCGCTGAAGGAAAAAGGTGTCTTACAGACACGAGGGAATTAAAAAGCTGTTTCATGACCTATGTATATTCATTCCTCAGATGTCTGGGTTAATAAAAAAATTGACAAGTAGTTTTTCAGCAGACAGTTTTACCCAGAGGGGTTGCAGAGACAAGGGGCTGAACTGGAGTCTGTGCCAAAAGGACACATCAGTTTAATGTCTCATCCAAAGGATGGAGCTCAAAGATGTTAAAGAACCTGCTCAAAGTTACACACATCAGTGTTGGGACTTGAACTGGGAAACCCCTGGTGAAAGGTTTCTTACCTTCACCATTGTACATCTCAACCCAAATGTACCAAAGGACATCAGTGGCTGGGTTAAGGTCAGTGTCTATAAAGTAATTTCAGACGTCATGGCAATGGTGTTCAATAGCTTTGAGAATGTTTTATTACTGGTTTTGTATATAATACTTACCCCAGTCTTCAAGGATTAATTAGTTTTGCAACAGATACACATCTGGGAGAATCTTTTCATGCAAGGTAGACACACACACACTTCTGTTATGCTCTTTCAAAGATGCTGTTTCTGTTTTATATGTAGCAAGCATCATGCAACAACAGAGCTTCAGTACACCTTATCCAACTTCCAGAGAAGTCATTACCGATTAACCAGAGTCCACTCACTTTACACCATACAATACTATTGAATAACATTCCGTGCAATAAAGATAAGCAATATAAATACAAAGATATAAAAAATAAAGAGACGGCTCTTATTAGTTGAAGACTAATTTTCTGCTATGTATAGTAAGGAAATTGAACAAAGCAGTAGAAAACCCAGAATAAAAGCAGAGAGCTTATAAAAAACACTCTGCGATCCACTGTCACAGATGTGAACTTGTTTCCCCTGTGGCCAATCTGTTAAAGACTTATAAGGGCAGTTTGCCCACATTTCACATGTAGAGAAAGTCAAGCCCAGAGTGCAAAATGTTCATTGGCACACAGGCTTGTAGTTACAGTGAGGGGTGCTTAAGAAGGCCTATTCAAACAGTTGCAGCACAAAACCTGTGAGAATTAAATCTGGTTCACATTCAACTGGGCTAATACTGAACATCCCCATGGATGACAGTTCACAACACAGGGTGTTAAATCAGCCCAGTACTGCATGTACTGTGTGGAAGGGCCTGGCATACAGCTGCATGAGAGCTACAGTTCCCATGGTAACTGTCCACAAGAATTTAAGCATTCAATTCTAAATTATAGATCACCTGGAAATGTACTACATAATCCTAATCTTAGCACATTGATGTATAACACAAGCCTCCTGCTTCCCAGAAATCTCAAGATAGCTGTGGTCTTCGCGAATCCCACCCTGGAATTCCTTACCTGTTCTTCTTTCCTCTGGAGATGCCGTTGCTAAGGGCGGCGGGGCAAGGCGGAGGAGGGCAGGTCGGAGGAGAGGTGTGGAGGGGTCGACTCCTTCCCTCTGAGCGGTTGTGTCTTGGAGCTGAGCTCTCCCATTGGCGCCAATACCCCAGAGGGCTGTGCTCCCCAAGGTACTGGAAGGTGCGTTGGGGCTTAGGTGGAGGGCAGGGAGGGCAAGGCCTATCCACAGACACCTGCACCCCTTTCTCCACATAGTCGGGGCTCCTCTGTTTACTATGAACAGCACCGGCCTCCTTCCCCCAGGGGACTTCCTCCATCTTTTTCCAGAACCCCCGCGAAGTGTAGAAATTCCCAGGCGGGAGAGATTGTCCAGGGTCCTCCGGCAGAAGGCCATCGTCAGGCTCCTTGACGGCCACATCCTTCTGTATCCCCAATCCATTTGCCGAAATTGTGTTTTTTCCACAGGGGAGAGGCTTCTGCTGCTGTCTGATGCCACAACACTGGCCTTCCCTGAAATCCAAGCCTAGGCTTTTGGCTTTAGCTAAACTGGCCTTGGAGCTTCCATTTCCCAAGCTGTCCGAAAGGGTGCGAGAGGCTGCCCTGTGGCCACCTTCTGCAGCCAGCTGGCTCAAGCCCTCCCACTGGGAGATCTTCTGCCTGATACTGACACCAGGGTTGCGGGCCAGAGCCCTGCCGGAGGATGGAGAGTGCCAGGGGGCAGCCGCTCCTCCAGGGGCATGCATGTCGAGAGGGACGGACCCACCCTCAGTGCAGGGCCACCACAAGCATCGCCGCTGGTCTTTCCTGTTGCCCAGAGGGACGGAGACGATGCCTTCCTCTATCGCTCACTCTCCGCCCCTCAGCTCTAGTCCAGGCACACACACGTGCATCTCTGTTCCAACCCAGGATCCCTGTCCCTCGCTGCTGCTCCGCTCAGAGGGAATCCTGAAGGACACAACACCACAGTCCATTATTCCACAAGCAGCGAAGAGAAAGAGCAGGTTTTAACCTTAGACAGCAGAACATACTAATGTATTCCAAGGTTTCATAGTCTGGTCACCTACAGAACAAAACCACAACAAAAACACACAGACTTTTGCAATGCCTGCAAGTAAAACCCATTTTTAAACTTCAGCTATCATGAACAGAATCTGTCTCAAAGGTCCTTATAAGGTTGACTCATCCACATTGCAGTGTACTAAATGAGAACCAAAGGTCAAAACTATGCCAGCGTATTGTACACCTTGCTTTAATATAAAAAAATCAAAAGAATTTGCATTAAATAATATTTCTGGTTTGTTTTGTCTGCAGTTTTCATAGAAGAGGCCGAAGACTGTGAACTGTGCAATAGGTGTCTGATCTGTGTGAATACGAGTCGATATTTCTGTACTGGTGACCTGTTGCTTTAAAAAAGTCCAAGACTCCTGAAAACGCAAGAGAGAAACCCAACGCTCACTGTAGAGAACACAGCACAAGCAACATGCTGCCAAGCACACTGGAGCCACAACATTTTTGTCACAGTTGAGGTTTACAGGAAGTGTTCCAGTACAAGACTATTTTGAATCACTATCCATTGTAAACCCCCCCCAAAAAAATTAAAAACTGACTAACTGGAGTAGAGAGAAGGTGGAACTGAAACGCCTCAAAACCAACACCTTTACGTAATCAAAAAGAGAAAAACAGTTTAGGTGTTAGTGAAAAAACTTTCTGGAATTAAAAAAAATATTTTAAGGTATCAGGTATTTTTCAAATAGTTGTTAATTTTTGCATGGTAGTTATGTTGCAATTTCTCACCCACTCACGGTATCAACTCCCCCTGCCGTGACAGTGAGATGTGGCCTGGGCACAGTGGTATTGGTGACATGCAGGCGAGGGGAAAGAGGACCAAACACTCACTTCCTGTCGCATGCACTGGCATCCTCAGATACTGAATGCAGCTCCAATACAGCAAGGGGAGGGGGAGCAGCAGGGAATACATCTGTGAACTCTGTCCGGCCCCACACACAGCTAAGGACTCTTTGTTCTACATGACCTAAATCTGCTGAGTGTCTGTTTTAGAGGAGGGCGGGACGGAACAGGCAGAACCAGGCCAGGGCAGACTGCAATCAGAGCACCAGCTGAGCAGATTTCTGCAGAACGCCAGGGTTTCTTCCAGCACTGTGTTTCACCTGACCCAAACTCTTTTCATAGGAGTCTGAGAGACAGGCGCTCGGCTTTGGCTTTCTTTTCTGAAAAATAATCTGGGTTGCATAAAAAAAAATGTTTTATGGCTTAACTGGTCATGTGAGACCATGGCCATGGTCATGGGAGGTCCATGATAACAAATATGAACTGTAGAGAGGATCCCAACAAGAGAAAGTACAGTACCTAAAATTCTAGCCCATTTAGCACATTTGGTTTTCAGTAGTTAACTGTTATGAACCTATTATCCAGTCGCGTCAACCAGGACAAACTTGGGAATGGATCTAGTTGCTTTTCTCTTGACTGCTTCCATTGTAGTCACTTTTTGCAACACGGTGATCAATATTGCACACAATATTCGAAACAAGGTCTTACTAAATAACGTGATAAGATAATTACCCATGTCTGTTTCATTTATAGTTTCTTGAAATTCAGTTTATCATGTTTTAGAGTTTATGTCTTTGCTATTTACAAGTACAGCTGACACTCTGCACTTGTCTACATAAAATGTCTTCTAGAAGGTGCTGCTTTTTTGTCTTTCTGAAGTTCCTTTGCTGCTTCTAAAATCTTTGCTTACCCTCCTAATTTGGAATCAACAGAGAATATACCACAATATTGGTCACTGATATAACAGTGGTCCTAATACAGATCCCTGTGATACTCCACTAATTATAACAACCTAATTTAAACAATTTGTCCTTATCAGTACTCTCTCTCTCGTCTAACCACTTACCCATTCTCAATTCCAATTCTGTACATGTTTTTCCATGAATGCCTATCATCAAGAATTTGAGAATTTATCCTTTATATGTAACTTGATCAGGCAGTGCCACACATTCAAACAGAGTAGCACATTCCAGACTTTTTTCAGCATCATATTTAACAAAGGGCATGTACATTTGGCCTCTCTATTTTGATATTTGTTGAATCTAAAAAGGACTATCACATTGTTTTATTGTTTTTGCAGTAAAACATAAGACAAGAAATGACAAGCACTTTAAAAAAAAAAAAAACAGAAAATGCCTACTTAAAGAGCAGGAGATACTCTGAAGTAACAGAGGAGAAAGCTCCCTAGGTAAGCAGCCTGATAAACACCCCAGTATCCACTTGTGTCATTCTGGGTATTCTGGGAAAAGAGAAGATGTGTGCTCTGAATTCTTCTACCTGAAAGCAGGTACAGAAACTTCAAACTTCAAGTCCATGCAACACCAGTACCGCCATCTCTGCATCAGCAACCTATTATATTTCAAACTGAAGGTCTGCACATACAGTAATGAGACTTGAGATCCAATTTTTCTATTAAAAGTTCCTCTCGTTTTTTTTTTAGAGGTAGAAATTTGGCTTTTTAAACAACTATATTTTAGGGAATGATGATATTCTCGCCCCCTGACATGTCATTTTTTAAAAAAAGCAGTCAAGTTAGTCTCTGACATCCCACAAAGGAAATGGTCTGTTTTTATTATTACACTCTGGATGCACAGATAAAGAAGAAAACAGCGTTTACACAGTTCTGTGGATGAAATGAGGTGCTGACTTCCACAGTAGGCGTTTCTAGGTTTGCTTGTTCACCGCCTGGGCGAGAATGTGTGGTTAATTTTGGAAAGGGCTCGTCCCTTGATTATTTCTGGAACCCCAACCCCCCCTACCCCTCGTCCTTCCCTCCTAAAACAGGAGGCAACCTCTGCTCTGTCACACTTGAGGGTCACGGCCGAACCATTGTTGTCCCCTGAGCAATTTCCAGGAGTGACAGGGTAAGGGCACTGCGCTTCCCGTCTGTGCTCAATTTCTCCCTTACCCGTCAAAAGTCAAAAGCCCACAAAGCCTGTACTGAGTTATTTTTATCCTCAGAAGCCCTACCTCTTCTGTCTCTGAGTTTCAACAGAAGTCATCAGTGAAGGCAGCTCAGCTCCCTCCAGAAAAATCAAAGACCCCAGATACTGCGTTTTTCCTTCCTGGCCTGCAGGATTCAGAGCACTCTTGAATGGCCAGGCAGATTTTTCTTGACATGACACGAGGGGCACAGGAAGCAGAACAAAAACACCCAATCATGCTGGCAAAACCGCGGTGCAATTTTGAGATGTGTAAGCTACTGACAATCAAATGAACAAGCTGGGCCTTCCGGCTTCATTTTGTTTGCAATCTCTTATGTTTTAACATCCTTATTTTTCAGGGCTGGGAACACCTGCAGCAACTGAAGCCAATCCTACCTCCTGTAGGTCTGTGAGGCCATAACTCGCATGTTTCAGTCCTTAGAGCGACGTCTTCTATCGACAAACTTATACCACCCAGCAAGTTACACCTGCCCTGCAGAGCCAGGCAGACTACAGGTGTCAGATGCAGCAGGCATGCTCGCCCCCCACCTAATTACAGCACTTTCCTCATTAACACCGTCTCCCCAGGCAGGGCTGTTATTACAACACACAGACTCAGCCGGTACTAGACAAGGGTGTGTGAAGGGTGTGGACACTGGGATTTAAAGCAGTGTTCTACGGTGCCTATTCAAAGGGGAAATTATTAGGTGCAGAAGTAAACTATGGTGCATTAAAAAGGGAAGGATGAAAAAGATATGTTAAAATTGTGTTTTTCTTCTCTGCATGACAGATTCACACACATATCCAGACTTACTGTATTGTTGGTTCAGCAGGGAACACATACTGATTCAACAAACAGAATGGTTTCCTTGTTCCTTGACTCACAGGAAGACCTGACTGGTAAATGGCTCATTACCTAGGAGTTACCACCTGGCTTATGGCATCATAGACACCATCTCGTCCATCTATTCCACAGATAAGGCAGGTCTGCATGTGTTTGCATCCAAATGCATTCCTTATTGCAATACTGAAATCAACTTCAAATGTTGGGTAACAATTATGCTTTAATGAAGAAAGGTACACATAATTCCAAGAAACTACTGGAACTGTACAAACTAAATGTTTACAGCTGATAACTATCATTAGCAGTGGTCTTCTACACAGCATTGTGGATTTCCAGAGGTTAAATGAACATGAGCTCAAAAACATAAGCAGAATGTATATGTGGCTTCAGATTGGATTTAATTGAAGCACGTTTGCTCCCCAGGCGCACCCTGTCATTTGGACTGTAGCTACATCAATGCATTCCACAGGCTCCGAGTTCCCCTGAAATCACTCGGATGAGTTGCAAGAGTCGGGGTTCTTTGGTGCCTGGGACCCAACCTAACCAAACTGTTTGTCTTCTTTAGCATAAAGGGAGAGCTTTGTGGGGTTTTCTTCCAAGGCCCCCAGAAATGTTGTCTCCTCTTTATTCATGACTGTAAAACAGTAACACAGCCAAACAGGCTGCAGCTGAGCTCTACAAAGACACTCAGATACAATAAAATGACCGCTTAGCAGCACAGCCAGCACTCTTTAGCTCTTTCCCACACCAGCATCGCCACACTCTCTTGCAGTCCTATCTTCATCCAAACCCAGAAAATGGTTAACTTCTTTTAGATCTGAGAATAAACATTCTGAAAATAGATACAGACCTTCTCACTGCTTGGACCTTAATGGTTTATACACTTTGTACCAGCAGTACACACACGATGATAAAGCTCATATTTCTAAAATTAGGTATAAAAATAGCAAACACAAGTTAAGAAGTCATCTTTAGTGGGTTTCAAGGCAGCAGCAACTTTAATATCCAAAGTCATCAGTAAGTCAAGACCTGTGCACCTTCAACTGCTACTCACTGCGTGTGTAACGAATTGTTCTTCAAGACCTGGGAACGCTGATGTACTAGCTGTA